TAAATGTCTTAGTCAAAAACAAAACCTTTTTCCCCTTCAAACACAATATATTTAATTTTAGGAAACATTTATAATATTTTGGAACAGTAAACATGTCAGGATAAATAATTTAAATAAATCATTGACTTCTGATAGCTTCATTGGTTTTGAAAACACATAATATTTTTACAAAACCTAAAACAAAACACATTAAAAAACCTTTACATATACCGTAGGAAGTAGGAACAATATAACAGAAAATCTTTGTGGTTTTAAAAGCTGGACTTTTCCATGGATCTTTTTGGTAAACCTTACATCATCTAAATAAAGTCTAAAGAATTTGAACAATCTTAAACAATTCAAGTGGATCAAGAAGAGTCACTGTGTAATAAATAAATAAAAACAATATAATAGATGGATAAATTGTTACAGCACATGCTATTATGAATAAAAATATGAATATGTTTCAATACATATTATGCTTTTAGGCCTTTATGAAAGATTTTAATCCACTTCAAATGTTGACTACTGTATGTATTCTCACTCTAATAATCGTGTCATAATAAACAAATGATAAAATATAATTATATCATGTAATAAATACATAAAAAGTAAATAAAACATCAAATTACAGTTTATACGAGGCAGTAAACCTCTCAATAAACTGTCTGAATGCTAAATGTGTAGTCCAGAACAAAAAGCACTCACTGTTGGGATGAAACATGTCGCAGGTGAACTTCATCTTGGGAGGGCTGAGAGGGTAGTCTGAGGGGAAACTGAGGATTGCAGGAAACACGCCGCCCTCAAAGCATGTGTCCTCTGGGCCCCTAAAATAAGAAAACAAGAAGAAAATAATGCAAATCTAAGCCTACGACATATCCTGACTAACAAGACTGCTTCGGAATCGTTTTTCAAATTTAATGCTGGGCCTTTGCTGCAAAAGTGAGCAAATAAAGAAAAAGCATTCCAGCAGTGACTCCTCTAAGCAGGGGCTATAAGCAGGATGTCTGGAAAAGCTATTACTTTATTACTCTCAAATCCTAACCATTCAGTGGAGTTTTATTACAACATTTTTAAACGCACATTAAAGCTTTATGCAGGAATTTTTACTCCCAAGAACTTTTCAGAATATAATCAAATCTTTAGCGTTGGGAATTAAATGAACCTGCAGGGGGTGCAGAAAACCTTTCCCAGACAAACAGCATGCAAACCTGTCTACACAGTATAGAACTTGGACTTAAATTTTTTTTTTTTCTTTGTTCAAACTGCAACTTTTGGTTTAGGACAAACACAAATTTCCAAATTTTTGGCTGTGAAAATTGCTCAAATGTGGCAGATGAAATCATAACTCGCGTGGATTAATCGACAGATCTGCGACAAAGCAACTATAGTTTCGTGAAACACTCATCACTACATCGTTCTTTTTCCAAATAATGCATCATAGTATGGTAGTTCACACGCGAGTTACATCATTGTTTGGAAAACGCACCCCAGAGTAGTAGTTTATTAAGAAACTCGGCAAGCAGCTGTCATAATCACAGAATTGTTATCTTAATGTCATTATCGTTGGACTAAATTGCTTTCGAACTCTATTTTACAGATCGTTTTAAGGTTTACCACAGTTTGGAAAAGTCAAGGTTTTATAAGCGCCAAAATTGTGTTACCATTCCTACGATACATGCAAGTTTTCTTTGTTTATTTATTTTTTGTTGTTTTTAACGTGTTTTATATTATTTTTAATTTGATTTAATTTTTAGAGCAACGGTATCTCCAGCAGCAAATGACCCTCCACATCAAAACCTACTGTTCCAAAATATTTTAAATGTTTCTTAAAATACAATATATTTAGTTCGATGGGGAAAAACTTTGTTACCCAGACATTTAAAAAGAACATATTTTAGAGCAGTAATCACACTACTGTGATATTAAAGCTGGGCGATATGGCAAGTCTCGATAATTATTTTACATATGGAACGATAACGATATATTGTTCGATATAGGTTGTCTGCTGTGTGACTTAGATCAAAATAAAGTAAAAAAGTTCCGAGCTTATCATTGTTATTGACATAAATTTTATTGTGATTCAATATAATATAATTTATCTGCCCAGATGTGATACCATGAAATCGCAATATTTTAAATCAAGGTTATCATACCATCAGAATCTTATACTGGCCCATGCCTAGTACTAAATGCTGCTCTATCTGAAGAAACTCTGATAGACATTTGAAGCTGCTATGCCTTTTTCTACATTGTTCAATAAAGTAGTAGTTATTTTCGAGGGGTAACACATATTGTCAGCTTCAACTATCTAGCGAAATTAACTACTACTCTATTGAACAACGTAGAAAAAAGTGTAGCAGCTTCAAATGTCTATCAGAGTAAACTACTGCCTTAATTTTTCAGTTTTTTTATTTTCAATTCAATTCAGCTTTATTTGTATAGCGCTTTTACAATGTAGATTGTGTCAAAGCAGCTTCACATACAGTAAATGGTCATAGTAACTGGAACAGTGTAGTTCAGTTTTTAGTGTTTAAGTTCAGTTCAGTTCAGTTTAGCTCAGTTCAGTGTGATTTAAAACCATTACTGAGAGTTCAAACACTGAAGAGCAAATTCATCGATGCGTAGCTCTACCAATCCTGAACCATGCATTTCATTAGTTATACATTTAATGGTTTGTTAGAGTGGTGGTTCATTCCGATTGACATTTGAAACTGACAAAATGCGCTACCTCTGTTTTTACACCCTTCTTTAAAGTAGGCAGTTCATTCTAATAGACATTTGAAGCTCACAAGATGTGCTAACCCTTGTTTTTTTAATTGAAATATGACATAGAGCTACCGGTAGCACATTCTGAGGAGGTAGCACAGATTGCCAGAACACTGACAAAATGCTTCAAACAGACTAAATAAAATGCGTTGGACATGCAAGACTGCAGAATTAAAACCAGAGAGATATAAGAGAGAAACCACAGCGGATCTCTTTATATCGATGGATGCTACAACTAAAATAAAAACACTATCTACTGTATATCATAAACGTCATAAATCACCGAAATCCATCCAGGGCTGCTGACAGAATTGGCAGAACTTCATGGAATCATTCTAAAAGGTCCATTTGACATGCAAATCTCCTTCTGTTTACCCAGCATATCCAGCTGTCGGTCAAATACTGTTTCTATGGGCGGATATCGATCAGTAATCATGATTAGCACCGCATCAAAAGAGATCCGTCCCCTATCTGTGGAACAGCTGTCGGGGAGTTGCTAGGGGACACTGTTCCTTATTTTGCTTGGCACTTCATTTCACTTAAAGGGTTATCGGCCAAAACCGCTGATCTAACCACCAGTTTGATTGACCGGAGGACACGCTGATTGGTCTTATCCAAAATCAAAACCACTTATCATCCCTTAATGTGCCCTCATTGACTAAGTATCGCTAGTGAATAGGAGCAGTGCAGGCTGTGAATGAATACAGGTTTGGAGAAATAAATTTGGCGTAATGTATGAATGTGAATGCAAGAGTGAATGGGTGTTTCCCAGTGCTGGGTTGCACCTGGAAAGGCATCCGCTGAGTAAAAGGATATGCAGGAAAAGTTGGCGGTTCATTTCGCTTTTAACAATGAAATGAATAAATAAATAAAGAGAAGCAATTATATGCAATACTTACATAATCAGAGCTTCCCACTCAAAGAAGTTCTCCTCATTTACAGGCCCTGTGAGAATGGCATGGGTCAGACCATTAAATTAATGAATTATTATTTTAATTTGTTTAACGATATAATACTCGGAGGTAAATGGAGCAGTTCGCTAACTGTCCCAATTCTCACCTGCCACAATCCCCTCCGGAGGGTTTAGGGTTAGTTCTGCAAAGAAACAAATGCATTTAGAGAACAGAAACCTGCCAAATAAAATGAAATTTGAGTACAGTGTACATGTTATGAACTGATGTTCGAGTTTTTACAGACATTTTTAGTGTATTCAGGGTGACTTCGGTTAATGCTTTGGTCTAACTCGTAAAAGTAATTCATACTGTCCTAATATGCTGGTAAAGTTCTGGAAGTGTCGAAGTGTTTTGGGAAACAACAGCTGCCAAACTGTTGCAAGCAAAACACTGAAAAGCCCTCAGCTCACAGGCAACATCACTGCGCTGAACGGAATTACGTGACTTACGTTTGTATTCCGCCATGAGTCTTTTTAAAGCTGTTCCAGCCATTTTATAGCCTGGTCTGGAAAGAAGTTGTTTTGACACGAAGAATGACGACAACTGACACGATGAAAAAATCTTCTTCTTCCGGGACAAAAGCGAATGAAGAATCTCACACGCGAAGGATTTCCCACTCGATCTTCACTTCCGTGTGAAGTCACGTGGCCCTAAAAACGTTCTTACGGTAAAAAAAAAAAACATTATGAAAATAAAACCATCAAGTTTTGTGACAATTAAAAACAAGTAAAAAAAAAATCAATTAAATTTTAAATTAGAAGAAAACAATCCCTAAAGATTCTTGACTAACTTGGCTTAATAATGATTGATATGAATTTGCTCTTGTTTGTTTGTTATCATTCATTCATTAATTTCATGTATGTTGTTTTTATAATTTCTTTTGCTGTTAATAATTACAATCCCTGTATTTTATACAAAGTGGTTTAATAAGGGTTGAAAAAGATAAATCAATGGATTCTCAAACATTTTAATATTTTAAATAATATTTAAAACTATTAATATAATAATAGAAATATACAGACACTTGTGAAGTTGCTGAAAAAAAGATTTGCCTTATTTAAATGTATTAATTAATAAATAAATATGGCAAAGAATTGAGAGATGTTTTATTTTATTTAAAAACAAATGTTCATTTTAATATATTTATTTAGTTTATTTGTTTTTCCCCTAAAATTAATTTACATTTACCCGAAGTGACAAGGTTTGGTATCCAGCTCTCTCAGTATGTAGAGTGGACGGGCTAGGCATCCGTCTCACTCTTTGCCACACACATAATAAGAAGCGCTACACTGACCTCTAGCGGAAGCGTCAGGTCACTACAGGAGGGTTTCAATGGCAACCATCACTGAGTTGAAAAGCGGTGAGCTGATACTCAGAAAATGTCATCAATGTCATTTTTCTCATCGTTTTGCTGTCATGGAAAATCTATCATTTAAAGTTTACCATCGTCACGCTTCTTAGAAATGCACTTTGACGTTAATACCTAGCGGCACAGTCGTCGGTGTGTATGTACTGCATGTTAGCCGAGCTGACTGAAGTGTGTCTGTCTCTATGATGATGTTTAGCGCTGAGGGAGACTCTAGAGGCCCGCGGGGTCCTGGGGCAGCTGAAGGCTCGAGTCCGGGCGGAGGTGTTCAGCGCGCTGGATGACCCGAACACCCCACGGCCGCCGCTGTCTCACGACAACCTTCTGATCAACGAGCTGATCCGAGAATACTTGGAGTTCAACAAGTATCGGTACACCGCTTCAGTGCTGACCGCAGGTAAACACACACCTGTGTCCTGAGCAGGGCTGGACCTGTACATTCCGGGGCCCAAAGCGGAATAATTTTGGGGCCCTACCTTGCTTTGAATAATAGCGTTAATGCCATTGCAAACAAGCTCACAATGATTTTATTGCTTATTAAAAACAGTCAATGAAACAGACAAGTGAAGCTTAAATATTCGCCACATTTCTTCTACTTAATAATTATCAGATTGAGTTTTGTCAACTACTGTCGTAATTCGACTTCTTATCAATTAGAAATGATCAGACCGGAGGTTTTGAATATCAGAAAATAGACTTTATTCTCCATAATAAAGCCGAGAAAGAGCAGAGCAGACCCCAGAGCATTCTGAAGTCTCTCCTGGACACTTCCTATCTCTGGTTCTCTCTTTCCAAAGTCTTTCCTGCTCCTTCTGAAGTCTCTGTGTTTTTTTAAATCTTGATACAGGTTATTTTCCACACCCCTAGGTGTCTTGTTTTAAATCTTGACCATTTTTGAATAGGTTTCTAGTCTAAGGGGTCCTGCTATTCTTGGCTCTCAGCCCACTAGCTCATGTCAACAGAGATGTTACAGGTCTATGTCAGCAAAGTATAGATGCAACTTATGCAAAGAAACTAAGTGTTTACATACATTGTCATGATAGCATAATCACTTGATAACATGTTACTCAGTCTAGCTTCTGACACATATCGCTTCATACAAGTATTTAACATATATAATCATTGCTTTACATATTCAGTTACTCTACACAATCATTCTTCAGCATAGCTTTCTCCTACTCTTGCTCCTGTGCAGACATACTCATCTTACACAGACACATCACTGTATTTTAAACACACGCTGGCATGTTTGCTGCAAACATTCTCCATTTTGAGAAGAGAAAATTAACTGCTTTACACTTAGAGAATACTTTACACAGAGAGAATAGAAATCTTCTTCACTACCAGTGTCAAAAATGAAGAATTAAAAATCTTTAATAAAGGGACCAATAATTCCTACTTTGCTTCCTCGGCTCGGAGTGTTTAAAATATATGCTATTAATTTAGCAAACAGATTAAAGACTCTATAGAAGATTCTAGGTTGAGGTAATTTTTTTTCCAAAAACAAAAACCCTTCAATGAAAGGACACTGAACAATAATGGGGTATATCCACATGGACTGTTAATTTCAGCCAGCCAGCCTCATCGCTTCTGGTAAACTGTCTTTTAAAATTATAATTTTGTCACGTTTAAAGGGCACCTATGATGAAAAATGATCATTTTGAAGCTGTGTGGACAGAACTGTGTGTAAGTATAGACAAATTACCATGTTTGTAAACATTAAAAATGCGTGCGCAGCGGAGTTGCAGAAAAAAAACAGGAGCACTATCATTTACAGCGAGGGAATGACATCCAATGCGGTACAGAGTTTGTTGTTGTCTTAGAAATTAGTTATATTGATTACATATTATATATATTATTTACATAATGCTTTCAGCGTATTATAACATCTTGTGCCCCAGTGACAAGCACAGTGATTCAGCAAAATTAACGTTAAAGTGAGCGGAGTTCGTCTGACAGGTCCATTCAATAGTATCTGGATGCAGCCTTTATGATGCAAGCTGAGATTGCATCACTCAGCTATGCAATGTCAGACACAATGCACTCAAATGGAGCGAGTGATGTCGCTGTTAGGGATGGGGTTAGGTGAGCCCATTAAAAAGCATTGGATGCAACCCAGATTGCACTGCACCAGGTCTGCATCCAGACCCTTCTCGGTCCCTTTGCGATAGATACCGAGGTTCTGCCTAGCCAAAGACAAGGAAAAAAAGACCTGGGTATTACCAAGGCCTGGGTAATCATCAACAAGGAAAACTGCATTCTGACAGCGAACTGCACTTGTGACGCTGAAATCATTGCTGCAATCAAAAATGAGTAACATGTAGGATTCAGCATATATAGCGTAAATTTACCTGGCATGTAATGAGAACTGCAGAGTCCATTTTCCCAGACCATGTCTTTAATATGACAGTTTATTTTTCCCCAGTATTTATCAGTGGAGTTTCTGTGCTCACCTGCTGATCCTGACGGCGCTGTTACATGGTCTTTCATCTCGTTTTACCCTTGAACAACTAAAAGAATGCTTAAGTATATTTAACTGATTGTATTGTAATTCAATTACAGCATAGATGCTGTAAAAGAAACCTTATGACAGTGAAAATACTCACATTAAAGCTTTCACCGGAAGTTTGTCATTGGCTGAAAAACACAAACTGTGCATAAACCCCATTAGCCAAAAGTGAAAAAGCAAAATTCAGTCATAAATTATGTGTACATTCAGTTTGCAGTGCAAAGATTGATCCATAAATAATAAAATCAATAAGCAAATAATGTATTAAAAATACAATATACATATACTGTATTAAAAAAATAACACTTAAATACTATGAAAGATTGACTTGCTCTGCTAAACAAGATTTAGGAAGTGTTTGAGAAATAATGAAAGTTTCACAGCAGGGCTAATAATCTTCAACTGTATATCACATGAAATATGTTGGGTTGTTAAGGTTGATCTCTTTAAAATGATGTTTCTCAGAATCAGGTCAGCCTGAAGTTCCTCTGGACCGTGATTTTTTGGCCAAAGAGCTCAACGTGGCAGAAGATTCAAGTGCCAGATCAGTGTGAGTATGATTTGTGACCAGCCTTACTCATCATGGGGCACTTAAAAATAGCAACTGCAGAGTGCTGCACAGTCAGTGGACCAAACAAATGCACATACAGTCGCGTAGCACAAATTGCGTGGGCCCACCCGCAAGAGTTAAAGCGAAGAAGTGAAGACCAGGGTATCACGCGGCCGGAGTATCCTGCAGGCCACTGTGATTATACATATACTTTACATGCCACAATATTAAAGATAGCCCAGGGTCAGTGTGATAGAATTTTATGGCCTGTAAAATGTCTGTTCATCTAGAGCTCCAGTGCTTCTCGTGTTTCAGTGATACGATGATCCTTTATGTGTTTTTTTATGGCTTGCACATTTAAACCTTGAGTTTTTATCACAAAAAATACTCTGATAATCAGAAATTTGAGCCAGGGACCTCTGGATGAGTTGATATGAAACAATTCATAATTTGACCAATATTGTGACACAAGATATATTAAACCAAGCATGCACTTTATTTATATACAAGTCTCTCAACCTATTTATTTTTTCCTTAAATAAAATAATACAAAAATCTAGAACAATGTTGCAGTCTGTACCATTGCCACAGCCTTATATCACCCTGCAGCCCAAGAGCGTTTACTCACCGAAACTAAGCAGGGCTGAGCCTGGATGGGTGATTACATGGGAAAACTAGGTTGCTGTTGGAAGTGGTGTTAGTGAGGCCAGCAGGGGGCGCTCAACCTGTTGTCTGTGCAAGTCCTAATGCCGCAGTATAGTGAAAGGGACACTGTACTGTCAGTGAGCGCTGTCTTTCAGATGAGACATTATAACGAGGTCCTGACTCCATGTAGTCATTAAAAATCCCATGGCACTTTTCGTAAAGAGTAGGGGTGTAACCCTGGTGTCCTGGCCAAATTCCTTCCCTCAGCCCTTACCCACCCATCATAGCCTCCCAAATGATCCCCATCCACCGAATTATTTCACTGTCTCTCCACTCCTCCAATAGCTGGTGTGTGGTGAGTGCACTGGCACTATTAATCAGTTAATTAATTCATAAATGTATTTATTTATAAATTTTTTAATTATAAAAAATATGCATTTTGTACCTTTATTTTATTTTAATAAATCAATAATTATTTATTAATAAATTGAATTATCAAAAAGATTAAAAGATATTTTTACCTTTAATTTATTTTAATATTTTAAATATTGAATTAATTTAATATCCTAATGTTTAATTAATTAGGGATCATATATGATCCCTCAATTAATTAAATCATTAACGTGTAAAATATTGCATATTTTATAAAGTATTATCATATAAAGTATATATATATATATGGGCGAGGCAGTGGCGCAGTGGGTAGCACCAAGAAAGTCGCTGGTTCGATCCTCAGTTGGCGTTTCTGTGTGGAGTTTGCATGTTCTCCCTGCGTTCGCGTGGGTTTCCTCTGGGTTACAGGTGAATTAGGTAGGCTAAATTGTCCGTAGTGTATGAGTGTGTGTGTGTGTGTATGTGTGGATGTTTCCCAGAGATGGGTTGCGGCTGGAAGGGCATCCGCTGCGTAAAAACTTGCTGGATAAGTTGACGGTTCATTCCGCTGTGGCAACCCCAGATTAATAAAGGGACTAAGCCGACAAGAAAATGAATGAATGAATGTGTATATATAAAAAATATATATATAAATATATATATATATATATATATATATATATATATTTCATGCATTAGTTTTTTCATTAATTAAATTAGGGATCATGTACTAGTTAAACAAAACTTAATTTACATATTTGGAAACTGACATAGACATTAACTCACTTGTTAATAGATAACAGAAAAATATATATATTAAAACTGAATGAAAAACTACAATAAATTTAAATGATTGTAAACCGGGAAAAGGTTTTAGTGTTTTGAGTGCTTACGCAGCTTGAGAGCCAGTGATTAAAAGCTGACTTGCCACTTTTTTTCACGCTTTAGATACGATCAGCAAGGAATGTTGGCGCAATAACATGAAGACGTTTTTAAATTTATTAAGAGGTTCTTGAAATTAGTTCTGTAAGACACAAGTAGCCAGAGCAATGATTTAAGTGCTGGATGTAATTCCTCAGTCTAGTACGAGGAAGAATTCTTGCTGCTTTGGTCAGTCAGCCAAAACACTACTCCAGTAGCCCAGTCTGGATGTAACTACTGTAATACACAAGTCAGATTTTGCTCAACGCACAACCAATTAGCTTTTTGGTCATATTAACATTTGTTTTAACTTGCTTCATATTAAATCAATGGTTACCAAAATAATGAAATAACAGCCTCAATATTTACTTTCTGTTTTGTTTTGTTTTTTGTATAAATTTGTTTATAATATCCCAAAAAAATTTTTATTTTAAACAGACATCATTATAAATCATGCTTAATGCTTTTAATATTGATTTGTTTTGCGGATTTAGGCCGTTGTTGTATGGATTGTTCCATCATTTTCTTAGCAGTAAGGAAGAGCACAAAGGACAAATCTTTCTAAAAGGCTCAGCAACAGTTACTTCACAAGAACCACATGGTCACCGTGATGCGGAGTCATAAACATGAAAGGTAATGAAATGTTTGATTTTTTTTGTTATTATTTCTTTTGAAATATTCATAAATCTGACCATTTTCATCTGTTTCTGTTGTGATTTCAGCTCTACTGTCATCTAGAACCAACACAAAAGAGGACATCACAAGATCCCAAGTAAACAGTTGTTGCACAGCTGTTGTCAAAGAGGCCAAAATAGTTCTACTCCCCTTTTACTTAGAATATTTTTATATTCTTTTTATATTTTTATTTATTTTTTTGTCATTTTTATTTTTTTATTTTCTGAATATAAGCAATGTGATTATTACATTTACCTTCTCATCTGCATATCTGATGTGTGCTAAATAGAAGTTGTTTTTACATATGATCAAATGATTTTGAATTTAATTTGTATCGTTTTCTTTTAAATATTTTCAATATTAAATTTACTTCTGCAGTAAAATACCTGTATTTTTAAAAACAATTTACGCTTACACTCATTGTTCTGCTTTAAGGGTTTGAATTTTTTGGGTTCATAGATGCTCTTCTGCAGACATCGACCGTAAAAACTGGATATTTGAATTACTATTATCTTTACATCAGTTTCAATATGGTGATTTTGATTTCTGACGACAATAATATTTGCTTTTATGGTGCCATAGAATAAAAAATCTAGCTAAATAATAAGAGTTTAGTAAATGGCCTTACTGTGATCCTCAAACATATATCCTTCATTGTTAATGTAATGCAAATTGACAAAACAAAGGCCGCGACGATCCACGCAGACAGTGTTTGATCGATTGGCCAAAGCATTTTCTATTAGAATTACAGCATTTAGTTTATATAATTTTAATAATGTATCGTTTTATGTTCATCCCAGCTTGATTTGTTCTTGCCTTGGATGTGGGACTCTTCCTTAAAGCCTGTCCTGTTTTTAAATAAACAGTAAGCAGTTCTGTAAAGCATCTAACCATGCATCACCACAAAAGGTGTCTCATCTGTTCACAGCACTTTAAAACACAAAAAGCAGGATCTACGGATTAAAACTGTATTCAGTGCCACGCCAAAGAGGCATGAGCTCTGTTTCTATGTATCTTTTGTTAGTTTATTGTGTATATTAAGTGCAGCAGACACGTGTATGTTTGTAATGAGGCAACAAACACATGTAAACTGCTTAAGTGTTTGTAAACTGCTTAAGAGTTTAATGTGTTTATGCATCAGCACAAATTGATCAGCTAATCTCAGGGCAATTTGCAACTTTGATTCAGTGGCTAATTCGTATGAATTCAAAAAGTCTCATTCGTATAATTTAGTATGATTTACTTTTCCTTCAATGACAGTTGGGTTTAGGGGTGGGTGTGGTGCCATGCCTCCTTTTTAAAATTGTTTATTTTCGTACGACTGAACTTGTACGAATTAGCCACTAAACTGACAAATTGTAAAATAGTTACGGTTCCCTGTGAGATCAGGCTGGATTTTTAAAGCCAATCAACATGTAAAAACCTGTAACAACACTTCTGGATAATTTTCGCACTTACCTAAGCCATATACAGTTGAAGTCAGAATTATTAGCCCCCCATTGATTTTGTTTATTTATTTTTTAAAATATTTTCCAAGCGAGGAAATTTTCACAGTATGTCTGATATATTTTTTTCTTCTGGAGAAAGTCTTATTTGTCATATTTTGGCTAGAATAAAAGCAGTTCTTAATTTTTTAAACAACCTTTTAAGGTCAATATTATTAGCCCCTTTAAGCTGTATATTTATTCGATAGTCTACAGAACAAACCATCGTTATACAATAACTTGCCTAATTACCCTAACCTGCCTAGTTAACCTAATTAACCTTATTTAAGCCTTTAAATGTCACTTTAAGCTGTATAGAAGTGTCTTGAAAAATATCTAGTAAAATATTATTTACTGTCGTCATGGAAAAGATAAAATAAATCAGTTAAAAAAAAGTCTTCTCTCCTTTATACAGAAATTGGGGGAAAATAAAAAGGGAGGGCTAATAATTCTGATTTCACCTGTACCTTCTGTTTGTATATCAGAGATCCATTTAATCTATTGTTTCAATGCATTCTGTGTACCCAATAAAGTGGCCAGTGAGTTTATATGTTAATTTATTTTTAACTCCCATCAATCATGATAACGAATGCAGGTTTTGCTCACCTCCAAAGTTAAACTGCTACTTTTGAGACCTTTACTGTTCATCTTAAATTGCAGTACATTAAGAAATGCCAAAACAAGCCTTGATTGTTGGACAGCTTCTAAGATGAGTATGTCTGATGAAGCCCCAGGTCCTTGAACTTTACATTTTTAAGGATTCTTCCTTTTGATTGGTTTTCATCTCTTACTGCCTTATCATCTTGCCAAAAGCCAGGCTGTCTAGAAGTGACATTTGAACTGCAGTTTCCTGCCGTTCTTTCAACCCTTCTACAGAAAGCATTTTATATACTTTACACAGATGAATAAGCATGTTATAATCAAATGAACATCACTTGTGATTACTCTTGCTTTAATCTCTTAAGTGCTTCTGCAGAGAAACTCTTTAAGAATTTCAGTTGTGTCGTAATATGTATGGTTTTCTTTCACCTCGAAACCTGCACCACTCACAAACACTGTAAACATCATCCGTTAGCCAAGTTCTGCAAATTTCCTCATTCTCCTTAAAAGGTAAGTCACTTACTCAATACTTCACTCAATATGTTTTATTGAGCATTGTTGCAGATGAAGCACTTTGGTGAAAGGTTGATGTTAAAGTTTTCCCCAGTGCACTCAGAGTACATTTTTCTTAACTAAAAGGTTATCATCAACAGATAGATCATGTGAAACATTTAGAATAAATATGAGCAGACAAATATTTGCTTTCTCTCCTGCTGCTAAGCTGGAGAACGACGTTCCAATGGAGACAAAAATATCCAAACACATGCAACCCTCTAAAATAGTGTATATACTCTCTATGGGAACTGAATGTGCGCATGCAGAAGTTGTAGATAACAGGCATTTTGTTCTTCTTTGTTAACTTGTTTTTATTATTAACAGTTTCCTGGTTTTGTATCTCTGTGGGTTAGCATTTTGATACCAAAAGTGGTACCATACACATTTTGTCGTCATTTTTTTTGTCTAGTAAATCCTGACGTCCGTTCATGATTAATTTGAACGCTCCAGTTACTCTAAACGGATTCACTCTGAATGAGTTTTTGGATGAGTCTCAGGAGACTCTCCAGCTTGTACAGCCTGTGCCTCTCTCAGCTTTAATCTCGCGCATATTTCCCGTTCCCTCCTCTCCTTCAGACGCACTGTCAGGAGTAATTCCTCAGATAGAGTTCTTCGGGTACAGCTAAGTATCTAGACTTTAGGATAGTCTTTGAAGCCAAACTTCAGGTGTGCGTATTGTAGTCTTTCTTTTATGCTTTTTTAACTAAGCAAGGAATTGTTTTTCTCTAAATATTGAAAAGTATTGTCATTATACAAACTGTAAAAATGAAAGGGAAGAGTGTTTTTTATTATTATGATTATTAAATATGATTATTATTTTATTTTGGAAATACATTCAGGCTAAAAATACATTTTACAAGTCACCTGAAGTTGAACAGTTGAGTTTTATCATTTTTGCATCCATTCAGTCTATATCCATGTCTGGCGGGAGCACTTTTAGCTTAGCTTAGCATACGCAATTGAATCGGATTAGATCATTAGCATCTCACTCAAAAAAAAAAAAAAAAAAAAAAAAGAAACAAGTTTATATAATTTCTTATATTTAAAGCGAGACTCTTCTGTTGTTGCTTCCTGTACTAAGATCGATGGGAAATGAAAGTTGTTTAGGCTGAAAGGATGACTAGGAACTATACTCTTATTCTGGCGTAATAATCAAGAAATGTTGTTGCGTACCATGGCTGCAGCAGGAGCAATGATACTATCACATTCACCACCGATCTAGCCTGTGCAGAACGCTGGAGAACTACACATCTGCCAATTTAATGAACTTCAACTCCCTGTCATGCACCTCACACACACCAGTTCCTGATTCCCCTTGATTACACTCACAGCTGCAATTTCATTATGGACTAATCAGATAAACCATAAAAACAGCACACACAGCTGAGTCTTGTCAAACTGTAAGTGAGCATCACAAAGTGTTTCCTTGTCTTGCCATGTTTTTGATAGTGGTGGACAAAACAAGGCTTCATGAAGCACTGAAACAGTCAAGACAAATGTTTAAAAGCTTCGAAACTTTTCGAAAACTCTCTACAGTGACACCTAGTGGTTTTTATTATATTTTGTTCAGGAACAGCTTTAGCAATGAAACAGTTCAGCAAATTGAGGTATTAAATCCCACGTTGTAGAAATGAGGTTTTAAGTGATTTATTGAAGCAATGAGAGTTCCTGACTAGCACGCAAAGATAATGGGTTCGAATCCAGGGTAATGCAGCTATAGATGGTAGTTTTTTAATGCTCTGTTCTTGTGACGTGTTTTGTTTTATCATTGGTCTGACATCCAAATGAGCACTATGAATAAATATGTCTTGTTGTGGTCACAAAACTGTAACATTATTAAAATACATCAAGTCATAATTTTTAAAGTATTCGTACAAGTCGGGATTCAAACCCAAGCACACGGAAAGTCCACAAGGCTACATACGACTGTTTTTTTTTTTCTGACCCTTTCTGAGATTCGCCAGCTCTCGAAACACTTCTGAAATGATCAATGCTTTGAATCGCTTTAGTCACGTGACCTGGAAAATTCTTTAATCACATGACCTGGGTGTTTTTGAATCACCTTTGTCATATGACCTGGGTGTTTTGGATCATGCTTTGGTGCAATGTTTCGAAACACTTGCGCTTCAGGATCTCGACACATTAATCATCCTTAGTTTTTGTACTTTGCTTTGTTTCACTGTTTATGTTGGTTTATCATCTGTCCCGACCATTTACCTGTACTGTGACTACGCTTTTGGTTTATCATTTTACATGCTCCTTTTTGTCCCTGTTTTTTACCATTCACTGCATTTGTTATGGAGTCAATCTAGGGCCATATGTACCTGCAAAACAAAAAAAAGCTTTGCAAAACAAAAAATAACGTATTGAGCAAAATTAAATAATTAAATAAATGCAAATTTCCAAAAATCACAAAGCAAAAATATTTAAAAAAAAAAAAAAGTATTTTGCTGACAAAAATAAAGAACTGCAAAGGGAAAATTTAGTTTTGAGAAATAAAAATGAAATTTGCAAGCAAAAAAAGAACTGCAAATGAAAATCAAGGGGCGGAGTCAAGGGAACTTGGGTGTTTACAGCAGGCCTGGACCTGCCTCCATTTAGCATCGCAAGCTCACAGTTGACTAAAAAGCAAATCAAAATAATTATTGCAATTGACTGGACATGTTTTCTAAAGGCAATTCTATACAAAAGTTCTGCAAATGTATAGTTTTATTTGCAGTTATTTTTTTGTTTGCAAATTTCATTTCTCAAAACTTAATTTTCCCTTTTCAGTTCTTTATTTTTGTTAGCAAAATTAATTTTGTTTCTCAAAAATGTATTTTCG